GTTGAATAAATTGAAATATTGTCTTTTATTAAATAATTCAAAATGATCTATGACTGATTTTATTTAACAGAAGTGGAAATATAGGAAAATTATTCTAATAAATAATACAGTTCATTCAGCGCTTGATATAATAAAAATTGAAGCTTTTTATTAAATAAGAAATTAAAAATGATTTGATTTCTCAATATTTGTTTTATTTATAGAATCATTAAAATTAAAAACTAATGAGTATCCACTTATTATCTCAATATTTATTTTTTTTTCTTGATTAATTGAAAAATGCTTGGCAAAAAATTTATTCAAAACTCTTAGATTATTAATCTAGACATTAAATTTGTTAATCATCTGTAAATCATTAAAATAAGTAATACTGAATATTTAAATAACATTTAGTCTTTAACAAGAAATAACTATCTTCAATAATATATAATCTCCTGTTTCAATAATCAAAATAATATAATGATTTTTCTCAATATATTTTCAACCTTAGGGCAAAAAGTTTTAATTGGTAAATTTATCTATTATTTTTGATAATATCACAATTTTCCATATAATTCTATTATTGTTATTTCATAATATAATGAAATATTGTATAAGAAAGGCAAAATAATAATTGAAAATAGGTATTTAGTTGCATTAATTGAATACAATACATCAAGATTAATTAAATTTAATATTGTTACAATAATTCTATAAATTTACTTTATTTAACTTTTTAAATTTCAATATTTTAATTAATAAAAATCAAAAAATATAAATAATAATGGATGAGTTTCTTGATTGAGAGAAGCTAACCTATTTATAAAAATTATCACAAACAATTAAAATATAAGGAAGATTTATTTAAACTGACAACAACTATTAATTAATTAAACTATAGTTATATAATATCAAGATATTTTGTTTTTCAAACTTGATCTCATTCAAAATAATCAATCATCATAGATTAATTAAATTATTTTTATTTCAAATATGATTAATATTTAACATTGATTATCATTTTTGATTTTAACAAGTAATTTTCCTTCTTATATGACGTATAGCTAATTTATAGCTATTACAATTTCTATTTTTTTAAAGATTTAAATCAAAATTGAATGATTTGCTCAAAGGCAAAAGAGTTTAAGTAATTTGAGAAGATTCAAATCGATTAACCGCCAAACAATTTTATATTAGACAACTATAAGGATTCAGAAATTTAGATGTATATCTTTAATGAATTCATCTAAATTTTATAGCCTTTTTATAACACAGATTTATTTACTATTTATTTCTTGATATTCTAGGTGATATTATATTTAAATTATTAAATATGTAAACTTTAGGATATTAAGAACAATATTAATTTATTGATATTCTATTAAAATTCAGAAAAACTTATTAGGCTATAGAAATTACATAATATTGAATTTTGAAGAAATAAAACATTTAAAATCCAGTAAAATTTCAATAATTTCGACTAAAATATAAATAATATATTGTTTTATAATCCTTTATTACGATTAATATATTGTTATATACTTTAAATTAACTTAAATTTAGAAATTTGATAATTTGATTTTTTTTAATTTCTTGCCTAATAATTAAGGTAATGTTTCTAGTATTAAGTTGCGTATCAATCAATAAATCTAAAAAAAATTAATAGTTGATATAGCTATTTCATTTTATTACATTAAGAAGATTAATAACTATTTAATTAATTAATTCTATAAAAACATTAATTTCACATATTTGTTTAAAGTTTGTACAAACCTTCTATTTTTATAATGTGAAGTCCAACATTATAAGTATTACCATTTACATTATATATTTTAAATTTTTAAACTTATTAATCAGGAAATCTAATTGTTAGTATTTGTTAAACAAAATTACTTTCAAATATTTAAGTTTCTACATCGTTTTATATTAAATAAACTTTTAATCTATAGACTCTATCATCTTAATCCCACAACCATACTTTTAAAGTATTTAATTCATATTATTATTATAAATCAAATATTATTGAATTTCCAATTGCACTAGCTGTATATCCAAATCCTCCTGTAATAGTGTAAATATTATCCCTTAAACTACTGCCTTATATTCCCCCAGCAAAACCATTTTATAATTTAGATGAGATTAAAGCTCCTCTATTTTAATTTAAAGCATTTTAATAATTTCCCCTAAGAATTGATCTTATTCTAGCCTATCTTTTGAAACAGAGCTGATAAGCTTCTAATTAAGTATTCAATAATAACAAAGTGATTGATATAATATATATTTTCCATTTCATTGATATATTAATAATTGATTAATATTTAATTAATTCATAGCTTTTATTGAATATAAGAATTAAAAGAATCAATATAAATTAATCCTTTAGTATTACTTATTTTGTATATACTTATTTTAATATCGAAAAAAAAGAACGATGTTTATCTAAAATCAATAATATTTATTTTTGGAGAGTACTATTTATATTATTACAATCTTAGAAATTCTTGAATTTTTGGTTTAAATTAAAATTTAGAATTTCGAGATTTTTTCATAATTAAAACAAAAAATATTTATGGAATTTACCCAAATTGAGCTTCTAATCTTTGAAAGTAAATTATAAATACTCTATATTTTAACTTATTATTATTATTAATTATCTCCATAAAAATCAAACTTAGCCATTCTTTTATAGTAAATTAGTTAGACGAATAACAAAAGTCATCAAAGAACTGACAATCATTTCTTTAAACATGTTTATGTATTTAAGAAATATATTATGATGAAAGTAGCTACAATTATTGTTATAGAAAGAATAAATTACCAAAAATATTAATTATATAGATAAGCTATTGTTTGCTTAAGCTTAAGTAATTTAATAAAGAGGGTATTTATTAAAATTTTCTATAATAATTAGCAGTTATTCAACAATTATAGAATTTTAAGATTATTTAATATGGTCTTATAAAATTGA